GGCCTCGTCTGTGAATTAGAGGAACAAAAGACTCTTACTGTTAAGGTGTTTAGGTGTGAATTGCCAATCTACATATGTGTGTGTGTCTTATCTCACTCAGCCTTATAACCTGAATCTCTCACTCTCTGCTCTTTGAATTGAGAAAGCTCCTCGGATGAGGAGCGAAACGTCTTCTGTTACAAATAAAGTCCAGTTGTTTTTGTATTGAACGCTTTTTAATTGCTTAGTTATAAACTTACAGCAGTTTTCAGTTTAGATTTGAAATAAAGTCGCACCTAAAACCCATTATCTATTGTTTAAATGGTTTTTTTTTAATGAAAAAAGCAACAAAAACAAAGAAAAGCATGTAAATATGTCCATACCTATGTTTTTATATTTTAATTAGCATTTGAGATTTATTGTTCGATTGATCAACCGATTCTTATGTTTGTTTGTTTTTCTTAATCCCTGAAGAATAAAACTTTATTGCTTTTCAATATGGTTTGTTGTTCAAGGTTCAGGGATTATCAGATGAGCTTGCCAAGCAGTTATGGATGGTACTGCAGAGGTCCATGGTTACTGTTCGCCGGGACCCAACCATGTTGGTGTCTGTGGTCCGGATCATTGAGCGGGAGGAGAAGATTGATAGGCGGATGGTTGACCGAAAGAAACAGAGTGGCTTCATCCCACCTGGAAGACCCAAACGGTGGAAGGACAAGATGTTTGAGGTCAGAATTTTAAAGACAAGTTATCCTGTTTGTTTGCTTTTTTACACATTAAACCACAGGCCTTTTAAAGTATGCAGTTGTTGAGCTTCTCAGACATCAAAATCCTACCTAATAAGTTGTAATTTAAATGTTCATTTACAAGTTTTTTTTTTTTTTTGTTCTTTTTGTTTAATTTGTTCCTACACTAGCAATTTTGTCAGAACTCAAATCTTTGCTGGGAAATTTTGGGATTTTGGAGTCCGTGGTCTGTAGGTGCAAAATGCAACACCTCAGGAAGAGGTCTTCATATAAACAGAAAAGAAGCAAAGTAGCCACATTGCTAACTTGGTTAAAGGCTAACAGCAGACAATGAAAATAACTTGAGGCTGATGTTGGTGTACAATAATGCAGTAGAGGCTACTGGCTTTTTCAGCTGAATTGAATCATCTATGTGGAAAACCTCTGGGAAGTGGTCTCTGGTGAGCAGCCTCTGTTTAGGGTCAGTAGTGTTCAATTCAAAAATACTTTATTAATCCCAGAGGGAAATTAAATGTTGTTGTAACTCATCATCCTGGTTTCATTAGAGTTGTTATAGATGCTGATAGCTGTGGGCAGGAAGGATCTCTTGTAGCGGTCTGTCATACAACAGATCTGAAGAAGCCTCTGACTGAAGACACTCTGTTTTTGTATGACTGTCTGATGAAGAGGATGCTGAGGGTTGTCTATAATGTTCTTCATTTTATGAATAATCCTTCTTTGTACAATTATCTCCAAAGGTTCTAGAGGAATCCTCAGAACTGAGCCAGCCTTCTTTATGAGCTTATTGATCTTTATTAAGTCACTTGCTGTGGTGCTGCTACCCCAGCAGATTATGGCAGAAGAGATAGCGCTCTCTACAACAGACTTATAGAAGATATGCAGCATCTTGCTGCAAACACTGAAGGACTTCAGCTTCCTCAAGAAGTACAGTCTGCTCTGTCCCTTCTTGTAGACGACTTCACTGTTGCAATTCCAATCCAGTCTGTTGTACAGGTGAACCCCAAGGTATTTATACTTCTCCACAATCTCCACTTCTTCTCCCATGATGGAAACAGCATTGGACTGGTTCCTGTTTCTCTTGAAATCTACAGTCATCTCCTCTTTGTTTTGTTCACATTCAAAATGAGATGATTGTTTCCACACCATGCCACAAAGCGGTCCACCAGTTCCCTGTACTCAGCTTCTTGTCCATCTCTGATACAGCTGACCACTGCAGAGCCATCTGAATATTTCTGCAGATGACAAGGAGTCTGTTTTGTACTGGAAATCAAGTTCAAATTCAAGTTTCTTTATTGTCATTCGCATTACATAAGGTGGAATGAAATTGTGTACTCAGGGTCCTGGTTACATTAAAAAATTGCAAAAATATAAAAAGAGATGGCATATAAGGATCATATACACTAAACAGTAATATGTAAAATAATATGGTATATTAAACAGAGCCCTAACTTGAGTTTGTGGTTAGTAGATGGGTAGGAATGTAACAGCATGAGATAATCAGCAGCACAGATAAGTCACATATCAACAATCAAGCGGCATTACAGTGATTTTTTTTTTTCACAGTGATAATCCTGATTAGAGATTCATGAGGGCTTCAGGGTAGAAGCTGTTCCTCAGTCTAGTGGGTCTCCACTTAATGCTCCTCAACCTCCAGCCTGAGGGGAGTGGGGCAAAAGTATGTGTGCTGGATGAGTGAGGTTCTTCATGATGCAGGTGGTCCTCTTCCTGCATCTAGAGGTGTAGATGTCTGTGATGGTGGGAAGGCTGACTCCAACAGTCTTCTGTGCAGCCTCCATGCCACATGTTGATGCTGGAGTACAAGATGCTCTCCACTGCACACCTGTAGAAGGAGGTGAGGACTGAGCTTCCCAGACCAACTCGCCTCAGCCGCCTGAGGAAGTAGAGGCTCTGATGAGCTTTCTTGATCAGGCTGGTAGTGTTGTTGCCCCAGCTGAGGTTGTCATTCATGTGCACACCCAAGTGTTTGTAACCTGACTTGAGACCACTTCCACTGCAGATCCTCCTATATTCGGGGGTGGGTGGGTAGGTGTGTTTCTTCTGTCTGAAGTCCACGATCATCTCCTTTGTCTTCTTCACATTGATGTGAATGTTGTTCTTCCTTCACCATCTGGATGTACAGTGCTCCAATCTGAGGTGTACAGTGAAAAGGAATGGTGAGAGTACAGTCCCCTGTGGTGCTCCTGAGCTACTGATCATCCGATTAGACACACAACCCTTCAGTCTCACAAACTGTGGGCTGTTTGCCAGGTAGTCTTTGATCCAGGTGATTGTTGAGGCCTCCACCTGAGTCTTCTAGAGTTTCTGACAAAAAAAATCAGGCTGAATTGTGTTAAATGCGCCAGATAAATCAAATAACATGATTCTCACAGTGCTGTCTGCTTTTACTAGATGGCAGTGAGTTATTTATGCAATGCCATCTGTTTTATCAGTTGGGACTTTACCAAGTGTGTATGGTAGCTGTTTATATCCCACTGAGTGCTAATGTTAGTCTAGCACTTAAAAACTACATGAGCACATCAGTGAGCTCCTGGCCAGACACCCACAGCCTTCATTGTAATCATCATGGTACCAGGAAATTTTAACCAGGCTATACTGACAGACATTCTGACACATTTTTACTATCATGTTTTCATACCAACCCTGGAAAACCATGGCCCATGTTCACACCAATAGGAAGGAGGCATACAGGGTAGTGTATTGCCCCCACCTTGGCTTCTCTGCTCTCAACTCTCATCTTTTTGGCTCCCACACATCATCCAGTGCTTTAAAAAAGATCCCAAAAATAGAGCATTGCTGTGTAGCCTGGTGAATCTGTTTGAGAGTTGAGTCAAAAGGGAAAATTCTCAGTTTACAGTTTTTTTTTTTCCAACCCTCACCTTTGACCATGATGTTTAGATTATGGCCATAAGAGCAAAATCCGATGTGACAAGGCTCATCCTTAGAGATTAGGTAAGGAACTTTTTTTTTATCGGGCGGGAGCTTGGAGTAGAGTGACTGCTCCTCCACATCAAAATTAAAAATTTGAGGTGGTTTTGGCATCTGATTGTCATAGAATGCCTCTTGGACACCTCCCTTTGGACATTTTCTCTGCACAACCCACTGGGACGAGACCTCGTGGCAAATCCAGAACTCTTGTGTGGGATTATTTATTCTTTTTGGCCCATGAATGCTTTGGGATCCCTCAGAAGGAGTTGAGTGTTGCTGAAGATAAGGATTTGGGTTTCCCTCTTGGACTTCTTGCCTCTGCAATCCAACCACTGGTAAGCAGCAGAATATAGGTGGGTAAATGAAATTCATTTTTGCTAACTATTTTCAGCATCCCCAGTTTGTCCCATCTGGATGATTTGTTTGAAGGTGAGCAGTGAGATCCTGAAAAGGGCTGCTCCACTCTGTGGTGAACAACCTTTGACCTGAACCACCTGTGTACAGGTTTGCAGCTACCAGTATACCCACAACTTGAAAGTTTCTTATGTAGAATGTCAGATGCAGTCTTAACATTCATAGGTAGCCAAATCCTAAACTCGCTGAGGGTTCAGACCCAACGGCTACCCTCACATGTTTAGCTGGCCAGTCAAAGCCATTGCTTTGGGTGTGGTTGCTGAAGTGTCCAAACAGCTGCGAGGAGCCACGTGTGAGAGTAGGTTATCAGTTGGGGACCAATGATAGAGGAACCACCACAAAGATGTGATGCATCCCCCCACACCAGATGTGCTTACACCCCCCCCCCCCCCCCGACACCCCAGAGTCATCCTGTTTAAACTCGACCCAAGTCTTGAAGGATCTGATTAAACTTGATCTGAGTCTTAGAAGGTTTATTTGAACTTAGACCCACAGATTTGTTTTTATTTGTCTTGAGTCTTGAGAGGATCTGTTTGTAATTGGCCCATTTCTTAAAACTGTTTTTGTTGCAGGTCTTGGAGGGTACTGTCAGCACTCGCATTGAGGGCACCCAGGCAGTGACCAGAGAGGTGGATAAAATGTGGTTGGTTCGTCTGCTGGAAATAACAAGGAAATATGTACTGGATGATCTTATTATTGTCAAAAATCTCATGGTGCAGTGCTTCCCCCCACACTACAACACCTTCAACAGGTAATAAATGCTCAAGTGCAAGAGTCTAATGTTAGTGCAGGTATGACTAACAGAAAAGGGGTTTCTGAGTTTCATTTGGACAACTAAAAGTTATCATGTATTGACCTATTTTCTTACAATCACTTTGGAAGATACAGTATGATCTTTTGTTTCCAAAAGCAAGATTTTCCATTTAAAATAGTATTTTCCTTACTATATGCTATTCTGTTTCAGATTTTTCAGCCTCTATCACAACGCTGTGTCCTCTCGTGTTAAGGAACTGGCCTCAGATGACTTGGAGGCGAATGAAATTGTATCTCTTCTGACCTGGGTTCTCAATACATACAAAAGGTCCATTTTATTATTCAGTCTGTTTAAACCTACATCTTGCATTGTATTCATCAGTACTTGCATGGGCGCATTACCAGTTTTAAGGTATACCACATTTTTAAGAAGTCTTAGTGTCAAAACCAAAAATATTTTTTCCGTTATACAGTTCCTACTTTTTTCAAGGTAACCGTTAGAAAGCTCACATTGTTTATGTACAGTTGCCTTGTTTATGGAGCTAAGTTCTGTTTAGTTATAGCTTGTTTCTAAGTTTCATAAATCCTATGCTATTAAATGCACCATAACTGTTCCAATACAAGTGAATGCACCACTCTATGTGTAAGGGTGCATTCACACTAGCCCTGTTTAGTCCACTTTAATTGAACTCTAGTCCATTTGCCTAGAAAGTCCGGTTCGTTTAGGAGGTGTGAATGCGCAACTGAACTCTGATGCAGACCAAAAAAGCGAACTATGGTCCGCCTAAATACCTAGGCCTCGGTTCAGTTGAAGTGAACTCTGGCGCGGTTCGACTGCATTGCGAATGCAAGCGGACCGGAGACTGCTCCAAAAGCAGGAAGTGGACGACAGCGCAGGGCATTCTGTGTAAATACAACCAAAACAAACACACATTTTTCTCATACGTTATACGGAGCCGTCTCAGCCGCCTTGTGTGAAAAACAACATTCTATTCAATTCAATTCAGTTTATTTATATAGTGCCAAATCACAACAAAGTTGTCTCAGGGCACTTTACAGAAACATTCACATACATAAAAGCCAATTAGTAAAGTTCTGTATCTAAGGAATTCTCCATGGTCTTCTGCCTCATCTTTCGCTCATGCTGAGTCCATTTTTGAAAGATGTTTGTTGGCACATGTGCCACAGACAAAACAGAAATCCTAAAACCGCTAAAATTTGATGCCACTCCGTTTTTGTTTTTATTTCCTGAAGAAGAAGAGGTGTCTTCTTCAGAGTTTTTCGTGTTGTTTCCGTCAGTAGTTCTTGGTGCAGCGCCACCACAGGCAAGAGGGTGGAACAGGTTGGCTCAATTGACTCAGTGCATTGTGAATGCGAACTGCACCAGATGAAAATGTAAACAAATGTTCCGAATTTTGGTCCCTAATCGAACTGAGTCTACTAGACTATCAGGTATGCAAATGACCTAAAAATGCGTGCATTATTTTTTTTTTCTCTCCCGACATAGATGGAACCTTGCTGTTTGAGCATTTACTTACATTTTTTCTGGTTTACTGTGTGTAAGTGACAGAAGAAACACAGCAAATAAATCGACCCTAATTAAACTGGATATCTGTATCCATCTTCTTTAAAGGGAGTACAACGCCATACCCTGCCGCTCTAAACCAGTTAATTTCCTGTAGAACACCAAACCTCTCCATTTTAGTAATGATGTTTTTAAAAAAATGTTTGTAAAGGGCTACTAGAGTTCACCTTTTAGCATGTTAAATATAGACCGTCTATTACTGTAGGCTCACTACAGAGGCCAATAGCTGTTAGCGTTTAAATGTTACTTTAAAAAGTACACGATAGCAGAGAAGTTAAATTGTGTACAATAAGCACAGTTGTCTTAAAACTGTAAATAATCTTTAAATTAATTTACCTTTTGAATTTATGTGTACTTGTCTTAAATCTGTCATTCCTAAATGTTATAAAGTTGTAAATTAAAGTACTGATTTCAAACTGGTTTAAAAAGAAAACCACCAACACAATAATTATTATTATTTTTTATTATTTTTTCATTCAACCTTTATTTTTACAGGCTAGTCTCACTGAGCCTCGAGAACTCATTTACAAGAGAGACCTGTTTAAAAAAAGAACACAGATGAGGTATAAACAACAATAGAAAGTCATATAAAAAACATATAAAATGAAAAGTAAATAGAAGAAATTAAATAACAATGAAACAAAAACAGCTACATTATAAAGCGACGTAAAATACTAAAACCAGGAACATGTTTGCTTTGTTTTTTTTGCCATGAACTTAACAGTTGTTTTGAAGCTATTTAGAGAGGTCAAGGTCGAGAGCTTCAGATCGTTTTGGAAGGTGTTCCTGGAAACAGGAGCTGAGTAAGAGAAGACCCTTTTGCCAAGTTCACCCTGCACTGAGGGAACTCTGCAAGTAATTATGTCTTGAGCGTGCACGCTGTAACTGCACTGACGAAGTGACATAGAGATGCATAAAGATGAGATGTATGTTCAGACATCATGGCGATATATGAAGGCAACAGACCAAGAAGTGATTTAAAGATGAACATGTACCAGTGAGAGTGTCTGTGTGAATTGATGATGGCCAGTTAACCAGTGAATACAGGGTGCAGTGGTGGGTAATGATAGTTACAGCCAGTTATGAATTTTAGCAAATCTTTATAGACAGCGTCCAACTTCTGCAAGATGCTTGCAGGAGCATTCATATAAATAATATCATCGTAGTCAATGAAGGGAAGGAAAGTAGCAGTTACAAGGCATTTCCTAGCATTCAGAGTTAGACAGGATCTTTTTCTGATAAAGAAACCCAATTTAACTTTCAGTCAGTCAGAGTCAGAGTTTCTTTATTGTCATTCGCACCTCATGTGGTACATGTGGTGGAGTGAAATTATGTACACAGGGTCCCAGTTACATCCAACAATAAAATGTAAAAGAAAAACAGTAATAACATTTAAGATGTGAAATAAGAAAAACATCAACTAAATATACACTAAGCACTCATAACATAAAAACATTACATCGAACATCAGCATCTTTCAGTTCCTTTACCAAATTTTTGACATGACGTTTAAAAGAGATGTGAATTGACCAAAATACTGTAGTGAGTCACGTGGGTACGTGTCACTTGTTGTATGACAAATATATGTGGTATATATTTATGCATACTTTTCACGAGTTCTTCATTTTTCTGACTGTAAATGCCGTGCATTGAATTTAACAGAAATGTAACGAGAGACGTTATTACCTTTGACCCATCAAATGAATGGAGTCATTTATTTTCAGAATCAAAGTTTAACATCAAACATTTACATTAATTTGGCAAAATATGAAAATAATAACAGACAGTTTCACAGAAAATGAACTTCAAATCACTCGGCGGTGATTTGAGGACTTTGCTTCAGATATTTCTAAAAATATCTGTACTGATTTATGAGAGAGAGGTGAGTTTAAGAGGAAATTGAGATTTATCTTACAGAGGAATATGTGAGGGAATTTAATCTGTTTAACCAGAAATTGCACGCTCCGTCAGATCTCAGCTTTGCCCACGGTACACTTGGTCGAAGAAGAACTTTTACCTTGTTGAAGTTCATCAGCTCAGTAACGTTTCCTTCAGACTCTTTTCAGCGTCTCCGTTGAGAACTGCTAAAATCCTTAGAGAGTCGTGCGTGGTTAGTTCAAACAGAAATTATAATTCCAAACGTCTCTGGATCATCCTGAATCCTCGAATTCTCTTCCATTCACTTCACCATTCTCCATGAATTCTCCATGAATTCTCTTCAGAACTCCTTGAGCACTACATGAGAACTTTTCCATTCTCCATTCCAACTCTCTCTCCATGAACTGGGAAGTTGCCACATTTTATTTGGGTCGACTTCCGGTTCAATTTAGAGCTTTCTGATTCGTGGATGTACCAGAAAGAGGTGTGGTTTTTTGACGTAAGTTATTATCAAGAGTCAAGGATTGTTTTCAACATACAGAAAAGATTATTGCAGTCGACCAGACTTCGTGGAGTCTCACACTTGGTAATCTTTTCAAATAGTAAAACATGACATTTCTTCTTCAGTAAACATTTAGTTGACCGAAGCTTCAACTTTCACACACTTACGACTTGACTCATTTCAGACAGAAAATCAAGAAATGCATATTCAGGTGATTTCTTGTTTGAATGAGGAATAAAAATCATTACTTACTGTTTATGTAAAATAAAGATGAGTAGTTCTTTTCAACCTGTAAGCATTGAGTGAACTAACACAATTTGATTATCAAAACATTTGTAAGACAGTAATGATTATAAAGAATTGTCTTTTCTGCTTGATTAATTCAAGAAAGAAAGTTCATCAGATGGCTCAGACTTATTCAAATCAATGAAAATAACAGTCTCTGTCCATCTGGTAGATTTGAGGTCATCAGGGTCAGATGGGGGTCAGATCATCAGGCCATCTAGTTCACTACA